CACCCATTTTGAATAATATTGCATGAGTTCCTTGTTTTTCAATGCAGCGTAATATTCCATTGTGCGAATATGCCACAGCTTCTCTACCCACTCTTTTGTTGATGGGCATCTGGGTTGTCACATCTTTTTTTAAGCATGGGCCCAGCCCAGCTACAGCATAACGTGTAACCTTCTAGAGTCCCAGAAAATTAGAAACGCTTTTCAAACTCTTGGTGGCACAGTGCTTAAACACTTGGCTAATAACAGAAAGTTTGTCTGTGTGAATCTTCACTGAAGAAGACAGATGGTCTTATACAGATAACAGCCTAAGAAATGGCACTGTTTCATTCTGTTGTGTAAGGTTCCTATGAATTAGAAGTGCAATGTGGGTGCTCTTTAGAGGCAAGGATGGTGAAATTTTTGTTTCTCATACTTGGGGCATGTTATCAGGAGGAACCTGTCCTTGGAAAAAGACACCATACTGGGGAATGTAGAGGGTTAAAAAGAAAGAGGAAGACTCTCAATGAAATGGATTGACACAGTGACTTTAACAATGGGTTCCAGCATGGCAGAGATAGGGCAAAGGCTGCTATCTGTTGTTCCTGAGGCAACTATAAGTCATAGTTGACTGGGCAGCACCTAACAACCACAACAACATGAATCAAAATCATCGGGACATAACAGAGCATCTCTTCAAAAGCACCAGATCCCCAAGCCATTACTCTCAACCATATGAATATTACTCTTTGCCCCCAGGTGTCATCAGCTAACACATGTACCTTAGTAGGATCCGTTCTTCAACTTCTCGTATTTGATACCTATGTTGAGAAGGTGGACTATTATTATTTTCTTTTTTTTTTTTCTTTCTTTCTTTTATTTTCTTTTTTTCGGTAATTGAGATTTTAATGCAATTTTATAGAGAACATGGATTTCCATTCATTTATTCTTGCACATTTTCCTCCTTGCCCACCCCTCCCCCAGTTTGCTTTTCTTTTGAGGGGAAAAATGTATCTTTCATTGTTATAAAATCCCCAGTCCACTTCTACTATGCAGCTTATTCTGGACTGTTGTCATGCAAATAAAACCTAATCATATATTCTTTTTAAGCAGTTCTCTCCCTCTTCTGTTTCAATGCAGTGTACATTATTTATCCCCTCTTTTTTTAGTTTCTCCCCAACCCTAATGTCAGTCTTATAACAGTGACATTATGCAGGATTTGTCCTTTTGTGACTGAGATATTTCAGCATAATGTCCACCAGGATCATCCATTTTGTATAATAGTTCATGACTACCTTGTTTTTCAGTGCTGCGTAGTATTCCATTGTGTGAATATACCATAGCATCTCTATCCATTCATTTGTTGATGGGCACTTGGGTTGTTTCCAACTCTTTGCAATTGTGAACAACACCACAATAAACCTGGTGTGCATATCTGCTTGGGGTGGCACTTATGGTTTCTTTAGGGTATATTCTTAGTAGTGGAATTGCTGGGTTAAATGGTATCTTGTTTCCAACTTTTTGAGAAAGTGCCTTCCAGAGCGGTTGCACCATTTTACACTCCCACCAACAGTGAATAAGGGTTCCAGTTTCTCCATAGTCTCGCCAGCATTTGTTGTTTGCTGCTTTGTTGAATTTTGCCATTTTACTGGGATGAGATATCTCATAGTTTTGATTTGCATCTCTCTTAGAGCTAGAGATTTGAACGTTTCTTCATGTGTTTGCTCGCCATCTGAATGTCTTTGGTGAAGTGTCTGTTCATACCCTGTGCCCATTTTTCAGTTGGGTTGTATACCTTTATCTCGTTTTGTGGTAGGACTGTTATGTTCAAGATTGCTGCCCCATTGAGGATCAGGAAGTAAAATTTCATAAAGCTCTCTTAATGAAATAAATTTTTCTTAAGCAATTGTCTGCTTCCTGTAAACTTATATTCCCAAGTTTTGATAGAGTTCATTCTGACAGTTTTTCCTAACTTATTTTCTGTGGTGGGCTTTCAGAGCTTCCTATTCAGCCATATTTGTTGCTGTCATCCTCATCAGGGTTGTTTTACAAAAAGACATATACTATGATGACATTTTCAGTTGTAGATGAACGAAAAGGCACCCTTAACTGGCTTGAATGAAAAAGTGAAGTCTAAAGAGGGTTCAGAGTCTAAACTGGGTTCAGAGTCCTAGTGAATAAGAAGTTGTGCTGCCAACCTAAAAGTGGTAGTGGTGGAGGTGGTAATGTGCCATTGAATCAGAACCAATTCATCGTTGACACTGCAGCTGTTATCAGGGACTGTAAATCACACAGGAGAAGGTTGCTTGTCTTCTTCTATGGAGCAGCTGGGAGATTTGAACCTTTTGTCTTTGGGTAGGCAGCACAGCTTCTTACCACTAGGCCACCAGAGTGCCTCTCAGATTCCTAGTGGCTAAGAAGTGTTCGCAGCCCAAAGGTGGTGTGGTGGTGGTTGTTATGTGCCATCACTGTGAGTCACAGAGATCCCATCTAAGTACAACAGCCCTAAACCCTGCTCTATCCTGAGCCAATCTTAATTGTCTCTGACACACCTCCCATTACCCCAGTAACTGGATCAAGCCATCTCATCGAGGGTTTTCCTCCACTGCACTGTCCCTCAACCCTCCCAAAGGTAGGTGGTTCAAATCCACTAGCTCCTCCATGGGAGAAGAATGAGTAGTCTCCTCCTGTGCAATATACAACTTCTAAAAATCCACTAGAGGGTTAGCTACGAACCGATCCACCTCAGTGGCACCTAACAATAGTAACAGAAAGTTGAAATAGTGGCAGCTCTTAAGCATCATGTCATCTCAGCTTCCAGGTAGTCATGACTTTTCACTAGTTGCTGTTAGGTGTCAGGTCAACTTCAACTCATCGAGACCCTATAAACAGCAGATGTGAATCTTGCCTTTATTTTGCTCCATCCTCACAAGCTCTGATATGCTCAAGCCCATTATTAAAATCACTGCATCATTGCAGCTTTTTGAGATCTTCCTTAATTTCTCTGACCCTCTGCCTTTGCTAGCGTGATGCCTTTTTCTAAGAACTGATCCCTCCTAATGGTATGCCAAAAATAGATGAAGTTTTACCTCCTTTTCTCTTAGGAGCACCCTTTGAACTTCCTCTGACAGACTTTTTTTGTTCTTTTTGGCACTTCATTCAGTATTCTTCGCCAGTACCACAGTTGAAAAGCATCATTCTTTACCAGTAACTCCCTGAGATTCTCTGATTTGGTCGACTTAAATAATTTGGTAATAACTTTAGAGATAGAATAAATTGAACTTCTGCAGCCTTGATACAAGGTTGCAATGCTAGGATATTCTTTTGTTTTCCATTAAGGTAATTTGACAGTGGATTCTAGAAATCCAAGTAAATTGAGTTCTTAGAAACTTGTTTTAAAGGAATAAGATGATGATCCATTTGGTGATTGAGCTTTATTATTGCAGATGTGAAAAAAGTTTCTTTGAAGCTAGAGATCTTCGCCAGCACATGAACAAACATCTTGGTGTGAAGCCATTCCAGTGCCAGTTTTGTGATAAATGCTATAGTTGGAAGAAAGATTGGTATTCTCATGTGAAGTCTCATTCTGTCACTGAGCCTTACAGGTGGGTAAATCAGATAGACACAGACACATGGTTGGACTGATTCTGAAGGCTCTTGGTGTTTTGAAAAAAATCTTAAAATTATTTAGGATATTTTTCCTCTTCACTCTCTTAGGTGTAATATATGTGGCAAAGAATTTTATGAAAAAGCATTGTTCAGAAGGCATGTAAAAAAGGCTACTCATGGGAAAAAAGGAAGAGCAAAGCAAAACCTGGAACGAGTATGTGAACAGTGTGGAAAAAAATTCACTCAGCTCAGAGAGTATAGGAGACACATGAACAACCATGAAGGTAGTAATTCTATTTGATTTTTTATGAATGCTTAGTTCAGACAGGTGATTTTGAACCAATTATCTAATTGTTAGATGTATATTCTTTTTTTTTAATTAAGGTAATTCTATATCAACATTTTATCTACACCAAATACTTGAAACCTGTTTTCCTTATGCTAGGGTTTTCTTATTCATTAAAGAATTGCTGTGCAAATGAAATGAGATTATAAATGGAAACATTTAAATCAGATTTGTGTTTTAGTAACTTATACTCATGGGCACATCTTTAGAAAGATTGTCATTTATTCTAAGTTAATTAGAAGTCCTGAATAAAACATAGTCAGAATCAAGATAGAAAGGCTACTGATTTTAAAGAGAAACCTGAATGTATTTTGGTATTTGTATCTCACCAACCCCACTATTGCTGTTTTTTAATAGGAGTCAAGCCATTTGAGTGCTTAACTTGTGGAGTAGCTTGGGCTGATGCCCGGTCTCTGAAACGTCATGTCAGAACACATACTGGGGAGCGGCCATATGTCTGTCCTGTTTGTACTGAAGCCTACATAGATGCACGGACACTCCGCAAACATATGACTAAATTCCACAGGGATTATGTGCCTTGCAAAATTATGCTGGAAAAAGACACCCTTCAGTTTCACAACCAAGGAACTCAAGTGGAGCATGCTGTTAGTATCTTAACAGATATGCAAGAACAAGAGAGCACGGGCCCTCAAGAAATTGAAACTGTAGTTGTGACTGGAGGAACTATGGAAGCTCTTGAAGCTGTTGCAGCTACTGAAGAATGTCCATCGGTATCAACACTTTCTGACCAAAGTATTATGCAAGTGGTTAATTACGTATTGGCACAGCAGCAAGGACAGAAACTCTCTGAAGTTGCAGAGGCTATTCAAACTGTTGAAGTAGAGGTTGCACATATTTCAGAAACAGAATGAATATAGTAATGGAGATTAAAAAGAAATGGCCTCTTGTGTACATTGAACTCATTAAACATTTGTTTACAATACCAGGTGACTATCCACTTGGAGTTTGTATGTCAAGCTCTGGGCTGTTTGCTAATTTTGTGACATTTCTAAATGGTTTGGCCAATGGGTTCTAAAAAAAGTCCATTTACTGTAAAGGAATTGAAAATCAGTTTGATAGTAGTGGTTTATCATGGTATAAATTTTTTTATAAAGTTTATAAAAGACTGTACTGAATTAAAAACTGTTCTGTTTCATTTGTTTTTTTGACATTATTATATAATTTTCATTTAAAAAGCTGTACCAATAGTCTTTTCTTTTTAACCTCAAAATAAAGAGGTAAATCTATTATTTCATTTGCCCCACTCCTAGATGAAAATTCTAATATAAAGCATTTTAATGTAGACTGTATATGAATAGTACAGTTTTTAAATACTTCAGATCTGTGATTGTTGACTTACTATTTATTTTAACCCTCTCTAAGTCAAGGATCTTCTTCTGTTTTCAAGCATTTAGTAAGTTACATGTTGTATAATCAAGTTTGCACAGTGTACTTACCTATGTTGGGAAACCATAAATTAATAGCTAACTTTAAAAAAATGCTGTTAACATGCATGAAATGCCTTTTATACAGCCTTAGTGTACTATCTTTCAAGGCAAGTAAGGCAAGCCATGAGAATACAAACAAAAAGGAATCTAGATCTTTTGCTAAACAAGTTAAAACTAAGCTTTTATATTCCCAGCTATTGTTATCATGCTTACTTGTTAAATTTGTTAAAGGTACAGTTTAGAAAGAAAGCAACAATACAGATCTTTGTGGTAATCTCCTGATGCCATATACTTCTCAAATAATTTGAGAAATACTGAAAATTCTTTAATGCAATCCTTATTTTATTACTTAAAGAAATTATTATGGTCCACCAAATGACCTAAAGTAAATTATTTTTAAAAAATTATCTGAAAACTAAATTCTGTTAAGTCATGCTTAATTTTTCCCACATTGAATCTGTCCAGTTTTCTGATTTTCAAAATAATAGTAAAGAGATCCCACTTTTCTAAGGAATTACCCGCATAGGTTTAATTGTTAAATGATTTTTTTTAAGTGTTAGAAACTATTAATAGGTATAAAATGAAGAAAGAAGCAAATCACATGTAAATTATTCCTAAAGCACAAGAAAAGAATGTGCCTTGATGTACATATATTATTGAAATACATATTCTTTGAAAATGGCTTTAAAGATAAAGGATAAATGTGATGGCCATGCATGCATTATACCTGCACATGTATAGTATTTGCATTTGCAAATTTCCCATTGCTTAATAGCTGTGTGGCTGACTTTGAGTTTTAAGAAGTGAATCGACATACAGCCCATAATATTATAATGGCTACTTGGTTATTTTCATTTGATGAAAATGTACTTTAATATGACAAAAATTTGTCATTTTGTCTTAATGTTCCACCCTCTCCACTATTACATATTTAGTTACTTGTATGAGATCATTAATGTGTGTCACAAATATGTAAATAAAAGATGTTGAATCTTGTTTAAAAGTGTACACTTGGGATGGAACTTTTCCCTGTTTTAAATTATTAATGAATTGCTATTTAACTATTAGGATAGGTCAATTTTTTTTTCATGTCAGATGGGTACTGCCTATGTTGTAACAAGGTTTAAAAGGTGGCACATATCATACAGAAGTATGAATTCCTAACCATCATGCTTATGAACCAGAAAAGGATATAGGATGAGTCAGTTTTTTTAAAGGAAGTAGTTTAAAAATAATCATTGGCAGAACACTAAATACTATGCAATTTATCACAAAAGTAAGCATATTTCAAATTTTGGATTTTATCAATTTCATGCAGAAACTAATGTTAAAATTTGAAACATTAGCACAATGGGAGAACTAGTAACTTTTGTATGCACTTTTTTACGATCCTCTTTTAGAAATCTGCAACGTTTTTATTGCTAGATGAGTTTCTCAAACTGTAGAGGTATCCTCTTCTCAAATCTAAAAATTTTAAGTACTGTTGCTAAGTAATGTGAGTTAATTGTAACCAGTCACTGAATTGCATATTTTGTCAGAAATGAATTAAGTATTATAATTTTTAAAAGTCAGTGGCTGGATGAAAAATTCCACAGAATTATAGTTCATAGCAACCTATGAACAAGGGTGCTATGAACTATAATCGACTTCACAATACTTAACCACCACCATGCTGGCATTCTTTAAGCTGAAAGAATTGAACAAATTCAAGCCTCTAGGTGCAATACTAAAAGATTCTATGGTCAAAATCTTTAATGATGCAGGAAGCATCAAAAGAAGGTGGAAGAAATACAGAGTGCCTGTACCAAAAAGAAATGGTCAACAATGAAGAATTTCAGAAAGTAACATATGACCGAGATCCAATGGTAATGAAGGAATTCTTAAAATGGATTGAAGGCATCACCAAAAAACAAGGCTCCAGGAATTGATGGAATACCAAATGACATGTTTCAACAAACAGATGCGGCCCTGGAAGTGCTGACTAGTCTATGGCAAGAAATTTGGAAAACATTTACATGGCCGTATAGAGATCCATGGTGTACGCGGGAGTTGTGTGGTGTTGTGGCGGTCTCTGGAGAGGGGCGACTCTGCCTCCAGGAGCCAGGAAAGCCACGCTTGGCCTTGGGTTGAAGGCAGCAGGGACTTCAAGCCCCAAGGGAGAAGAAGAGGAGAGAGGAGACGGCCATAATCGCCCATTCTTATAAGTATTGTTCTTACCTGCTATCAGTACTTGGGGAGCTTCTGAAATACCAGTAATAAAGCAAAATTATAATAACCTGACTAGCCTCTAATTATAATTAAGGTGGCTAAAGCTGTTGCTGCTGCTTCTCCCTTGGGGCTTGAAGCCGCTGCTGCCTTCAACCCAAGGCCAAGTGTGGCTTCCCTGGCTCCTGGAGGCAGAGTCGCCCTCTTCAGAGACCGCCACAACACAACACAACTCCCACGTACACAGCACTTGGGTTGAAGGCAGTGGCGGCTTCAAGCCCCAAGGGAGAAGAGGAGGAGAGAGGAGACGACCATAATTGCCCAGGTTTGCCCCACCTAGGGTGGCTGTGATCCTCTGGCCAGAGAGCATGGAGTACGTGGGAGTTGTGTTGTGTTGTGTTGTGGTGGTCTCTGGAGAGGGGCAACTCTGCCTCCAGGAGCCAGGGAAGCCACCCTTGGCCTTGGGTTGAAGGCAGCAGCGGCTTCAAGCCCAAAAGGGCCCTCGGGCAGTCTTTCATTGTTTTTGTTCAGACATTCCTCTAGGTCGTATAGCCCTGGTGTCCAAGTTGCCATCCTGTGGTCACTTGTGGTTGCTGTGAGGCTGAACACTGTGACACTGATGTGTCAAATGCGTTAATGGTTGGCTACCCAATGCAGCCTGAGAGTGGGGTGGAGCTCCCCGATTAAACAAGTGTGGAATGAGGAGTGGCATCCACTTCCATAATAGCTTGCCTCTGGAAACCCTATGAAACTGGAGAGAGGATGAAAGGCACCCAAGCGTCGAGGACTCTCCTTCATAGGGTCGCTATGAGTCGCCTGTGACTCCACGGCACTTAACAACAACAATATAGAGATCCATATTTGTTCATCCCCCAAAAATGGGACTAAAAAAAGGTGCTCCAGCAGAATGTGGAAATTCCTGAACAGTTGTCATTAATAGCACGTTCAAGTAAAATCTTGCTGAAGATTATTCAAAACTAGCTGGTATGGTACATTAAAGGGCACTTCCAGAAATTGAGGCTAAATTCTAAAGAGCCTTTGGAGTGAAGGATATCATTAGTGATGGGAGAGGGATCTTAGCTGAAAGCAAATACCAGAAAGATGCTTACATGTATTTTATTGACTTTGCAAAGGCATTTGACTGGGTGGATTATAACAAATTATGGCTAATATTTGAGAATGAGAATATAACCATTTAATTGTCCTCATGGGAAACCTATACATAGAAAGAATTCATTCTACAAAGATTAGTACCAGATTAGTAACTACAAAGGCAGCAGTTGGAATTGTCCCAAATGCTCAATCTGCTGTACCACTCCATCACTTCCAGCATTAACTGTTCCTTCTCTCCCCACCCACCACCCCCAGCCCACCTTAATTAACGTTTGTGTCTTTGGGTTCTATAACTCACCAGAAACTCAACTGTCACAGGAAAGGGAAGGAAGAAAATGGCTCATGTAGTTGTTGATGTAGTCTGATAAATGTCAAAGATGCTGGTGAATAGCAAGCCAGTGGCTGAATCAGATTTGAGGCACTTTTATAGGCAAGTGGGCTGAGAGTCAGCAGATGTCCCAGATGAAGTTCTCTTATAGGAGTGCTGGAGCATAGCCCATGTGCTAAGAGATACAGTTTGAGTCTTGCCTTCAGGTAGGGTGGAGCCTCAGCATGTATCCGTTCTTTCTGCATGCTCTCTTCTGGCCACATGATGGAATTTAGGGTAATGGCCTAAGAGGAAAGGAATTTTTAAACAGTAGACCCACAATACCCCAGTAGACCACAGACTTGAACAAGGAAAACACTGCATGGTCTAAAATTAGAAAAAGTGTGACTCAAGATTGTATGCTTTCTCCATACTAATTCCTATTCAATAAATGCTGAGCAAATCATTGATGAAAAATGGCATAAAAATTGGAAAACTTATGATCAACTTGGACTATACAAATGATATATCCTTGCTTACAGAAAGGGAAAAAGACTTGACCCACTTATTGAGGACAGTCAAAAGACTATAGCCTTCAAAATGGGTTACATCTTAACATCAAGAAAAATCCTCATCACTAGATCAACAGACAACATCATGATTGATGGGGGAAAGATTGTAACAGTAATCAAGAAATCAAGGCTTGTTAAATTGGGAAAATTCCCTTTCAAATATCACTCCAAAATTCTAAAGAGCAAATATGTCAGATTGAAGACTAAGGTGTGCCTGAGCCAAGCCA